GAAACAGTGCAGTATACGAGAAAATGCAGCACATATTTTTACTACGTTTATACGTCTATACGGCTACACTTTTGGCTTCAGTTGCAAAGAGAATATTGTAATCAAATTATGAAATCCAACATGAAACGTACAGCATAGTGTGACAGAGGAAGGCAGCAAGCTACATCACAAGAACGTAATGTGTGCAAATTCTCTCTTAGTTTCTGTGCCAAACAGGTATGGAGGTTTGTATGGGAGCCACACCATCACTGCAGGCGATGAAGTAAGAGCTCGTCTTCAGGCACTCAGGAGTGAGCTTCAGGCACACAAAGCAGAACTCAATCTGACAGCGAGGACAGATGATGTTCTTACAGCCCGTTGTGTCATGCGCCACCTTCAAGCCACAGGTGGGACAGGCCCTGAGTGAGGGACAGGCGTCGACCCCTTTCACCTTATTGAGGTTGGTGGTGCCACATTTCTTGAGGGCCTCGAGGTCGAGGTTGATGCAGCCGTCGTTGTCGCAGCGGTCAGAGCGTGGAGCCGCACCTTTCCACAGCTTCAGACACTGCCAGCAGAACTCGTAAGCTTTCTTGTTGTCTTCTGTGCAGACTGTGCAATTCACTCTGAGGTTACTCGGGTTTTTTCTCTTCATTTAGGTTTTGCACCCAGGTCACTGTTGGAAAGGGAGCGAGAAACTTTTAGGCAAAGGTTTGGCATGTAAGAATGTACGCTTATTGGCGTTCTTGTTGAGTTAGATGAGAAGATTGTTACAATCTTCTTTTCTAACTGTGCAAGACAGTGAATAAGCGTTTCCCCTAAATTCTTCCTTCAACTCCTGTAAGTTATTTGTGTTATCTGCTTATTGCTGGATGTTGCAAAGAGAAACTATCTCTGCTGAATGTTTTTTGAACACCAGGGCACTCACTTCTTTAAAATCACAGTATTCTGTGGCAGCCTGAAGCGCCATTTTCTCTTCAAAGTACTGCTTCTCTTCAGCTGTCAGCACTGCCAGCCTGCGCACTTCTTGATAAGACCACTCTTCATCACACTTCTGCAGGGTGCCTTCCTCTAAAGCAGGGCACTTAAATTTGTACTGGCCCTGAAATTAAAAGCAGAGGTTGTGTTATATTGCCAGTTGAATATGTGGTGAAAACTATCTGGGGAGCTGAGCATCATTTGTATGAAAACTCTGGCCAGTCGCCAGAATAAAATGTTGGCATTGTATGTTTCTGCAAACCAGAGACATGTAACATCTGTACATTTCCTACATATGACGTAGTTCAGATTACATGTATGAACTGAGTTTCTCATCAGGTGGATGAGGGGATGGTGGATGGCATGACGTCATGACAAGATTACTGCCAAGCACCAAAGCTGACCACTGTTTGAGATCTGTTAAAGTAGGTGTATTTAAAGACAGTTTAGGACATGTCCAGCTGTGTGTGTAGTGACAAAAGGGAGTGTTTTTAATGAGAGATCAGGGTGTATCCAGCTGTATTTCTAGCAACAAAATCGGGTGTTTCTAACAAGTGTTCGGGACGTGTCCACCCGTATTTGTAGTGACAAAAGCAGGTGTTTTTTAAACAGAGTTTGGGACGTGTCCAGCTAGGCTTTTAGCAACAGGAGGACGAGGGGATGGTGAATGATATGACGCCATGACGAGATGCCTGCCAAGTACCAAACAGTAGCTGACCACTGTTTGAGACCAATAAAAGCTGGTGTATCTAAGTGAGTTTTTGTAGTGACAAAAGCAGGTGTTTTTAGTGAGAGTTCAGGACATTTTCAACCCTTTTTGTACTGACAAAAGCAGGTTATTTTAACGAGATGTCCGGACATTTCCAGCCGTGTTTGTAATGACAAAAGTGGGTGTTTCTTAATGAGAGTTCGGGATATGTCCATCCATTGGGGGTTTGCAGAAACATACAATGCCAACATTTAATCTGGTGATTGGATTGTGTTAACCTAAGAAAGGTGTTATTCATAATAATAAATTGATTTACGTTAACAATAAGTAACAAATTTAGGTTTGGATCCAGCCTGGACTGTAAGCCTCAGAACATAACACTGTGGAAATATCCCATTTCCACCTCTTAATTGGCAAAAATGAAACAACCTAAATAAACTTTAACGTGAAAATAAAGCAGCTAGGAAAAGTGTTAATCTGAAGGAAATATGTGACAAAATAAAACATAAATAAGACAATAAAAAGAAGGGCTCAATGTTTACTGGTGGTGAAATGCAGTGTCGGAAACAGCTGGAAAGTAATTCTTGGGATACAGGTTGGAAATTAACTTATCTAACATGGAGGCTCACA